TAATCTGCCCCTTTCATCGCCTTTCCCCCAACTTAACTGGCACCTTGCCCCTCCACTCCTTACCTGTTTGAACCTGGATTTGAAGGCTTGGATCCTCTTGGGAGTCTGTGCACATTTGTCAAAGCTCAGTCAAGGTCCCCCAAGCCAGAATGGAGCTTGCTTTTCCTGGTTTATCCTCTATTCCCAGGACCTCGGTTGTCTGTTTCTGGTGCTCAATCATTATTCCTGTGGAGGAAAGTAATTTTTAATATTTTCAATAACTATTTAAGGAACCTGAACAAATATCCACATTTTAAAAGAACCCAGGCCTAATGTGTCCTCTTTCCCCAACCACTTCCCACAGTCACCCAACATTTAAGGACAGCCTTTGATGAGGCAGCAGCTTGGCTGTGTCTTCACTACACGATTCAATATCACCACCAGCCTTTACGCAGGACTCTGCACATGGCAGGCTCTTGATAAATGGGCTCTGGTTAAGTGGATAACCTTATGGAACAGAGTTATCAGTTAAACCTTTTTATTTGTTGAGATAGGGTCTCACTGTATCACCCAGCCTGGGTTGCAGTTGCACAATCACGGCTCAGTGCAACCTCAACTTCCTGGGCTCAAGTGATCCTCCCACATTAGCCTCACAAGTAACTGGGACCACAGGTGCACACCACCACACTCAGCTATTTAAAATAAATTTTTTGTAGAGGCAAGGTCTCACTTTGTTGTCCAGACTGGTTTTGAACTCCTGGACTCAAGAGATCCTCCTGCCTCAGCCTCCTAAAGTGCCAGGATTACAGGTGTGAGCCACCACACTGAGCCAGCCTAACTTTAAAACAGAGAATAATGGAGTTCCAGCATAATTAAGTGACTTGACTAACATACTGGGATCTGATTGACTTCGCCCTCTGTCCATCCCTTGTTATCTTTGTCATATCCATGGCCCTTAAAGCCACTGTCCCACTGGTACCATAAAGAGGATTGCCTAACACCACTCATTACTTCAGAAATGCATGGTGCTATTTATGGAGACAGCATGGGTGACTGACCAGCATGGTATTTTTCTTCTTGGCCTTTGGAATGTAGCCTACAGCATTTGCTCCAGAAAACCTCACACAGATTTGTGTTTGCAGAAAAGGGTCCAAAGACTTAATTATTTTTTGGGAGTGCTAGTATTTGTCCTTTGCTAACCGGGTCATCCTTCAGACAGAAAAAAATGCTGTGTACGACCCAGCCAAGGCCGCTGCTCAATGGTTTTGATGGCAGGCCACAAACTCAAGGCCCTGCCCACAGGCCTGAGCATGTCCAGAGAATGAAGTGCCAGAGGGCAGCTCTCTGTGTGCACCCCTGCATGCCTCTCTGTCTCCAAAGCCTTTGTCCAAGCCTGAAGGAGACTCTGAAAGCAATGCCCACTTGACCCTTCTTGATGGGTGTTTGCATTGAGCTGAATGAGAAAAAGGCAGCCAGCCCCTTCAGACAGAAACACCAAAGCAGCCTCCAACAGGCAGCACCATGGCCTGGGCGTCTCCATGACTTGCAACATCTCAAAATGTGCATTTCCATTATTATCGGCAGAAGCTGCCACATCAGTCCCTCTTGGGAAGAAGAAGTGTCATTAAGTAAAAACTTTAGAATTTCAACATGTGGTCTCTCTGCCTTCCCAACAACTGTTTTACAGATATGTTCACGTGACTAAGATTCTTGCTCAAAATCCGCAAGCATTTGAGAGTAAATTATCAAGGGCCCAGTGGTGGGCCCTGTCATCTTCAACAGTGTGTTCTTGGGAGTTCTTTGATTGGCATAGGAGGGGTTTGATCTATGAGTCCATCGGAGCTGCTGGCTGTGATGACCCTAAAGGGAGAAGGGAACTCAGAGTCTGGAGGGGAAGGTGCAGCATTTACTCTATAAATTCTTATTATATCTTCACGGTATGCAGAGCGGTGTGCTAGGTAGAGAAGGACTTATAAGCAGGCCCCCTCCCAGCTCGCTAGGTCAATTGACACCTACCAAGGAGTCTCTGTTCCAGAAGATGCTACAATTCCAAATGTGGATGTCAGCAGCCTCTAGGGTACCTAGATAGTATTTATGTCAGCAAAACTGCATTTAGAGTGACAATAATAATGTGGGTTGGTGAGTCCTCTCATGAAATCAACACTGATTTTATCCTTTCTTACATGTAGAAATTCCCAATGTGTTTTTTTTTTCTAAAAAAAAATCTTCAGCTTATTTTAAAGCACTCACAGCTACCATTTGTAGAGTTGTTATGATAGATCAAATGGGAGAATGCACTTAAAGAACTTTCCTTTAAAAGGCAAAAAGGACTGTGGATGTCCTCAGTAAATGATAGATGCTATGATCACCCTTATCACGTCATTGTAGTTGTCGTCATTGTTGAGTGTATGGCTCGATACTTCCTTTGCTTGCCTTTGAACAAGAGAAAAATCAATGAAATCTGAGAGGTCCAGAGTTAAAAAGCTCCTCTTTGTACTATGACTTACGCTTTTTGAGATGTAAAGTGAAGATGAGTGTGCCTCCATTTTTTTTTTTTTTTTTTGAGACAGAGCCTCACTCTGTTGCCCAGTGCAGTGGCATGATCTCAGCTCACTGCAAGCTTCATCTCCCAGGTTCACGCCATTCTCCTGCCTCAGCCTCCCAAGTAGCTGGGACTACAGGTACCCGCCACCACGCTCGGCTAAGTTTTTGTATTTTTAGTAGAGACAGGGTTTCACTATAGCCAGGATGGTCTTGATCTCCTGACCTGTGATCCGCCCACCTCAGCCTCCCAAAGTGCTGGGATTACAGACATGAGCCACCATGCCCGGCCGAGTTTGCCTCCATTTTTAAACTGCTGGCCCTTGTGTGAGCAACAATGGACATCCCATTTCTGTGGGATTATCCTGCAATTTAGTACCTTTGTCAAGGAACCTGAAAAAGTCAAAGAGCTTGTGTACATGCTTCATGTCTTATTGACACCAAACCTTGGAAGTGGAGGGGAGAAGAGACTCAGCATTTTGTAAAAGTATATCATGTTCTAGGCATTTCTTACAGGCTATGGGGTGAATTCCCAAAAGTCATATGTTGTGTCCCTTCCCAAAATTCATTATGTTGAAGTCTTAGTGCCTAGTACCTCAGAATGTGACTTTATTTGGAGATAGGGTTTTTAAAGATAATTAAGGTAAAATGAAGTCATATGAGTGGGTCTGAATCCAAATATGCTTGGTTTCCCTATATGAAGAGAAGATTAGGACACACATACGCACAGAGAGGAGACCATGAGAAGACACAGGAGAAGGCGGTCGTCTACAAGCCAACGAGAGAGGCCTCAGAAGAAACCAATCTGCCAACACTTTGATCTCAGGTTCCAGCCTCCAGAACCATGAGAAAAGGGAACTTTGTTTTTTAAGCCACCCAGTCTGTGGTACTTTGTTATGGCAGCCGTGGCAAACTAATACAACATATATTAACTCATTTAATCCTTTGCACAAACCAATGCATTACTACCACCAATTTGTAGATAAGAAAATTCATGATTTGAGAGATAAGGAACTTGTCCATGGCCTCACAGATGGTCAAGTAGCTTGGCCAGGCTTTGAATCCAGTTCTGCTTGAGAATAGCTGACTTATGGTAACATTTTAATAAATATTAACATTTATTATTTATTATTCCTATTGACTTCAAGAAGATAATATCTAATTCAGGTAAGTACTCCACCAAGATGACTAAAGACATGCAGATCCACGAGGGTGCTTCATGTAAAACAGGAGAAAAACACATTGGCTCTCTTATAGAAAAAGTGGAACCCAAGTCCCACAAATATTGTTTGAACTCAGCATAATGTTGCCTTTACCTTCTCTAAGCCATGGATTTTTATAGAAGCCTTCAAGAAATGGAACTCATGATGTCAAAAGCAAATGGATTGTAGGCAGAATAAGAGGCTTTTTTTAAAAAAAAAAATTATGTTCTAAAAAGTGTTGTGTTATGATACATGGACACCCACTCTAAAACCAAAAATGTTTTTCCAAATAAGATCCTAAAAGTGTTTGCCCTAGTTAGTCTAAGATAGCCCTTATGGCAATGCCAAAGATTAAAGTTTGTGTTCACAGTTGTTTTAAACGAAGATATTACTCTCTGGCTTTTCAATCATATTTTTATTCCTTTTGTGCATCTCATCAAAGCATTTCGATTAGAACAAGTCATTGAGAAGGCAGAAGCCAAAATAAACAGTCGAGTTTAAATTACTACAGTGAAGGGACCACAGTTTCACTCAGGCCCAAGTTATGGGGACTTTTAATGATTCTATGAGGTTCTAGTATTTATGGAATTGGCTTGCACATAGATTTTTTTCTTCCTGATTTATTTCTGAGTTCTAAAGCCATCCATGAATTTTAATCCTAGTCTATCTTGTCAAATTTTTTTTCTGATGGGCTTCTCAGAGGTTCCAGTCAGCTGAGGGTTTACTTTTCCTTGGAGCTTATTAACTACCATCACTTGGCCCGAACCAATAACCTCTGTCCAGCAGCCTGGCCACGTCACCCATGTTTGCTACATGTGACCCAGGGGTGCTTGCCAGCTCCACTGCTTCTATCCCTGCTTTCAGAAGTAACCAAGAGAGGATGTCATCCATTGGAAATAAAGCTAGGGTACAAATTCATTCCCAGATGTAGTATTTGCTGGTGTCTTTCTGGGCTGGTCAGGAGACACTGTGGCGTGATTAGATACACACTTTTTGAAGATGAACAGAGTTGGCTTAAATCCCGACTGCCATCTTCAAGTCATGTGACTTTGAGTTACTTGTTCAACCCAGGCCTTGGTTTCCTCATTTGTTAAGTAAAGATAACAACTACCTGGCAGTTTTGTTGCAAAGAGTAAATGAAATAACACAGGTGACGTGTGTAGGCTAACATCTGATGCAAGGTAGATGCGTAAAACGAAGACCGTGCATACATGGTTGATGACTTCACTAATGTAACTTCCAGTGCTTTCTGTGTGATTGAGATTCCATTTTCAACAGGACAAAGCCTGCTTGCAGAGGAGAAATACCACGGCAGCTTGATGTGCAATTGGGACTTAACCTCACACAAGACCCAAGAGTCCCCACGGAGGGCATTCTCCATGTGTTTCAACTTGGTGCATCATTCACCAAGCATGTTCCCTCCGGAAAAGCAGGAGACCGCCCAAGGTTTGGATGAGTTCAGGGAAGCATCTGAACTTTTTGGGCGCTATCCCATCAAAACTAGAGTTGTCTGGGTTTTGACCGCTGGGGCCAATATTATTTTCTGTCTGGGCTTTTAAAAAAGATCAGAACATTGGGTTAGTATTCCCAGTTCTCTATGTCATTAGAAGCTCTTCAGCATGAAGATTCCACTAATTTCAACCAGAATTGAGTGGATAAAAGAGATGAGTAACGTGAGAAAATGAATGAGGAGATTGGCACTCAGCGGGGGAAGTTAGGGACTCCAAGGAGAAAAATAAAAGCTGTCTTCATCAACTGGCCCAAGATAGTGTGGGGGGATTGATTAAATGTGATTCTTTCCAGCACTCTGTTCTAAACCTCTCCTACATTACATAAATCAGAGTCAGAAATATTTGAGTTTGAATTCTATTTCTGATATCTATCAGATGGGGTGACTTCTTACAACCTCTGACAGCCTCAGTTTCCTCACTGGTAAAATAGAAATATTAGTAAATATGTAGGATCATTCATTCATTCATTCATTCATTCATCAACAATATTAGTAAAGCACTTGATCTGGCATATAGCAAGCATCTAATAAAAAGTAGTCCCCCCTTTTAAATTTTCTATGGAATCTTATAATCCATGTACTTAGATTTTAAGGATTTCATATTTATACTCCAACTTTTTTTCATTTTGCCTAGGAATATATTCTCACCTTTATAAAAAACATACTTGGCCTTTTAGAAACCACATAGAAAAAATTTAAATAAGAGAATGCATTCTTTTAAAATCAAACCAATATTATCGATCCTCACTAAAGTGTAAATCTCAATCTATGGAATGTTTCTCAATTCACTTGAATGAATATTCATGACAGATACAACTTGGCTATGCCCAAATGTGTATCCAATGCCACTACGCCATAAAATAGGTTGACAGTTAGGCACCAGGATAGAAGTGTGGTCAGTGACCCAGTGCCCATGGACCCGGCACACTCCCACTACCCCCAGCTCCATGAGGGGTTCCAGAAACTTCCACTCATGCTGGATTTTCTTCCAGTGCCATGAAGGCCGGCAGAGTGAAGGCAGCCATTTTGCCTTCATAGAGTGTAGGCCTTTGCAGGGCTTTTAATACTTCCCCCAAATAGTATTGTTTGTCTCACAAACTTAAATAACTTATTTGGGAGTAGTATCCTTTTGTTTCTCCCCCATTTTGATTTTTGATCCCTTTTTCTTTCAGCTTCCTGGGTATCCTCCTGACTTATCTGGGACTGAATCTTGCAGTACTCTTGTAGAAAACTGTGATGTGAAATACCACACATTGCTTTCATTAATATGTCACATTAAATCGAAAATCTCAAATCCAAATCAAAAGTTGGATCTCTTAACGTTGTTCATACTTTAGGAAAGTCTAAGGGCTGGGAATAATCTTTCTCATGGGCCAAACACACACAGACACACACACACACACACACACACACACACACACACACACACACTGCAGATTCTAATGGTTCCCAACACTTCTTTTTTACCTCCTCACCATCGTGTATGTAACATATTCCCATCAGTGGCATTTCTCCTCAAGGGCAGTGACTCTGGCCAACTTGTAGCTTGAAAAAGCCCCTCTTCCCGCCCTACAGTCTTGACAATCACATTTCTAATCTCGTCAAGAGAACTGGATTCCTCCCGCCTGCTCTGAGGGCTTTATTGAGGAAAGCTTGCCCACACTGTCATGCTTTGAAGGAAACAAAATCAACACCTTAAACTGTTTTGGAGACAAAGGGTCCTTTTGGAATTCCTTCAGGGCTTGCCCAGATAGCTCCACTGACAGCCTCTCTGCAGTCGTCCTGTGTCCGCCATAGTGACTTGTTGCTCGGCCTGCCACACCTCCTGCTGGGGCCAGAAAGCTCCTCCTAGCCCCTCCTTCTTGCACGGGAACAGAGAGAAGGATCGCCAGACAAAGGCTTCGGTTTTCCTTATGAAAACACAATGACCTGCTAAGAGATTGTGTAGTGGGCCCAGAATAAAAACAAACAAAATAAAACAAAACAGAAAATTTTCCTCATATTTATAATATCAAGAGTTCAAATTTCCTGACAGCAAATAAGTCAAGGAGGCTTATAGGGGAAAACAAAATAAAGCATATCTCCTTGGGAAGGGTTCTCAGAATATTTCACTTCCTAGAGTTGCCTGAACTGTGACCTGTGAGAATGCACCAAATGAGGCTGTCATTCACGGCCTCTCCCGTCCCTCTCATCTTTTCCATCAAAGAACAAGACTGACACAAGAGAAAAAAAGATGGCCGGCCTGGTGGTCCACGCCTGTAATCCCAGCACTTTGGGAGGCCGAGGAAGGCAGATTGCTTGAGCTCAGGAGTTCGAGACCAGCCTGGGAAACATGGGGAAACCCCATCTCTACAAAAAATACAGAAGTTAGTCAGGCGTGGTGACGCATGCCTGTAGCCCCAGCTACTCGGTGTGGGGGCGGGGGTTGCTGAGGTGGCAGGATCACTTGCACTTGGAGAGGTTGAGGCTGCAATGAGCCGAGATCCCGTCATTGCAGACTCTGTCTCAAAAAAAAAAAAAAAAAAAAGAAGAAGAGAAGAGAAAAAAGAAAGAATGGCAACACTTGCCATATCAGGAAAGAGGGTAAAAGAGCAGAAAAAAGAAGGAAAGAGATTAACGGACGTAATAGGTAGGGGCTGACAACAAAATGCCATTTTCCTGGAAGGGAAGCTTTGTGTATCTGGAAGCTTTGTGTGTCTTTTTGTCTCTGCCTGGCTTTGTGTATGGGGCTGGCATCAAAACCTGCCCTTTGAGCCGGTGATGCATTCCTGCCCACAGCCTTGCTTCAACTAATTATGTCTTTTATTTCAGTTGGAAGAAAAGGGCATCTTTCAAACAAGAAGATGGCTTTGGCTGCCCTTGTGGACCTGTGCTTCTCTGTCTGGGCACTGCCTGTTTCTGGAAGGTGTTTCCTCTCAGCCCGGAGTTATAGGTACAAGAGCACGCAAGAGAGCAGACAGGTAAAAAAAAAATCGCGTACTATCTAATTGTAAACTGTGGTCAATGTTATGCCATTTTCTATGAACAATTGTTATTAATACTATGGTAAAGGTCAGTCTCATCCAAATATCAAATTTATATTTTAAGTCTTCACAGGTAGGAATAATTGCCACTGATACCTAGTTTCTGATTTATTTATTTATTTGAGACAGAGTCTCATTCTGTCACCCAGTCTGGTGTGATCAGGGCTCACTGCAACCTCCGCCTCCCGGGGTCAAGTGATTCTCCTGCCTCAGCCTCCCAAGTAGCTGGGATTACAGGCCCGCCACCATGCCCACCTAATTTTTGTATTTTTAGTAGAGATGGGGTTTCACCATGTTGATCAGGCTGGTCTTGAATCCCTGACCTCGTGATCTTCCCACTTAGGCCTCCCAGTGTTGGGATTAAAAGGCGTGAGCCCGCACCGGGCCCCTAGTTTCTTATTACAGCTAAATTCTATTTTTGTGGCATGAGTTTGATACGAAGGTTGAAATTCCATAAAAACAGAAAGTGGTGATCAGGCCTAAGAAAATACTGCAGCAGCTGGAAAAGTTCAAGGATGCGCCAGGGTGCACCGTGGAACCGGTCTCTTTGTTAGAGGAGAGGAAATCTCCACCTGTCATGAAATGCGGGGAGGAGGTGGGTAGAGTAGAAATAGTGAGACAGGGACATTTGAGTAAGTGCCTGGGCACCCTGCTAGATTCACATTTGGAGGAAAGAATACTACTCATTTGACAATATTGCTAATCAGAAATTCACTCCTGTTCAGTGGAATTGTACACACCTAAAGAAGAGTTAAGCCACTACAGGTGACGGGGTTTATAAGAGGTCCCCAGAGGCAGGGGTTGGGCCCGTTTGAAACAGGCGTATGGCAGCAGTTATTTGTCTTGCATTAAGAGAATGTTCTGTTAAATGTGATGTGAATATATCATATTTCTCTTAGAGCAGGCTGTGAATTGCAGATGTCATCTAACTAATTCTCACAGCATCCCTGGAAAGCAGGACATGAATGGGAAATTGTTTCATTCATCTGTGTCTGGCAACGTTTATGAATTATTAACAGGAGAATGTGAATTTCCCCAGGGGGAAAAAAAACTACACCGCAAAGGTAAGGGAATTGTAAGGAAGAATTAGCAGATGTTAGAAAAGGGTGGAGTAGTAAATAATGATGTGAAATTCAAATTTGAAGAAAGAAGATTTTGAGAGAACCTGACAGAGGGGTCTTATTGGGGGTGAAGCAGAAATCTCGGATGCTTTGATGTGGAGAGAGAGGAAGAGGATGGGCAATTATGATAATTCTTACACAGTTAGGCATTCTTTACACAGAAAAGTTGCAGTTCCCTGAGACTGGTTGAAGACTCAAGTCCTGTTTTGTTGTTGTTGCTGTTTTTGAGACAAAGTCTCCTGTGTCACCCAGGCCAGAGTGCAATGGTGCAATCACCGCTCACTGCAGCCTCAACCTCCTGGCCGCAAGTTATCCTCTCGTCTCAACCTCCTGAGTAGCCAGGACTACAGCTATGTATCACCATGCCCAGTTAATTTTTTAAATTTTTTGTAGAGACAGGGTCTCACTGTGTTATCCAGGCTGGTCTCAAACTCCTGGGCTCAAGCAATCTACCCACCTTGGCCTCCCAAAGTGCTGGGATTACAAGTGTGAGCCACTGCCCCTGGCCAAGTTCTGTTTTTAATAGAAACACTTCCCTATTTATTAAAACAATGGCTACCATGCAGTAGTAGGTACTCATGAAGCACCCGAGAGGCTTACTGCCTGTAGTCTTTTCAACAACTTGATGACACCTCATTCATTATTCTTGTCTAACAATGAGGGCCTCATTGCTGAATGGCTTTTTTTTTTTTTTTTTTTTTTGGACATGGTCTCCCTCTGTTGCCCAGGCTGGAGTGCAATGGCCCGATTTTGGCTCACTGCAACCTCTGCCTCCTGGACTCCAGCGATCCTCCCATCTTAGCCTCCTCCTGAGTACCTGAGATTACAAGTGTGTGTCACCACACCCACCTAATTTTTTGTATTTTAGTAGAGACAGGGTTTCACCATGTTGGCCAGGCTGGTCTCAAACTCCTGATCTCAAATGATCCATGCACCTCAGCCTTCCAAAGTGCTGGGATTACAGGTGTGAGCCACCACACATGGCCCTGAACGGCTTTCTGAAGTCACAGGGGTGGTAAAAGTCAGGGCCAGACATCAGACCCACTCCTGCCTGCTGGCAAAGCCCCTGCTTGTGCCCGCGGCGTCACGCAGCCTTCTCTCGAGGCGGTGGGGTCGTAGCAAGAGGGAAACAATGGTCACATTTCTAAGGGGTGAATGAGAAAAACTAAAGGTTTCTAAACCTTTGAATCAAACATAGGCATTGTTCTGAGCAAAAGAATGAGATGAAGAAGAGAGAAAATATTCCATGTGCAATCAAAATACCTTGTGTTACTCTTTCCTCCTTCAACTGCAAGGGCGTGGTGTGCAGTAATTGTCTCTAAGGCCGTGTGTCAATGGGGAGCCGGCGTGCTCAGGCAGTGTCTTCCCGTAGACTGTCCTCGTGATGTCACCCCTCCCGGCATCCCCAGTGCTCACCTGGTCACCAACATGGTCGACATTACTTGTCTTGGTCAGCCACTGTGCTGAGAGCAAGAAGGAACCCTCTCCCACCAGCAACCAACTCTTTTTTTTTATTTTTTATTTTTTAAGATGGAGTCTCGCTCTGTCGCCCAGGCTGGAGTGCAGTGGCAAGATCTCGGCTCACTGCAACCTCTGTCTCCTGGGTTCAAGTGATTCTCCTTCCCCAGCCTCCTGAGTGGCTGGGATTACAGGCATGAGCAACCATGTCTGGCTAATTTTTGTATTTTTTGGTAGAAACGGCATTTCACCATGTTGGCCAGACTAGTCTCAAACTCCTGACCTCAAGTGATCTGCCCGCCTCAGCCTCCCAAAATGCTGAGATTACAGGCGTGAACCACCGTGCCTGGCCTGATTCTTTTACAAAGATATTCCCAATCTGTTTCTCACAAAGCCTCCAAGTAAGCACTCTGTGGACTCACAAATTCAGGTATCACAGTCTTCCTCTTCAGAGAGACTTGGCCCAAGCTGCCAATGGGGTTGACTCAGAAGGCAACTCAAGTGTGTCCCTGCATGTAGTATCCACCAGCACCCCTTCCTGCAAATGTCCCATTCAGGTTTCTCCCATCAGAAGAAGTGCTTCTCCTGAGCGCTGCCCTGCCCGGAGCTTCGGGGGTGGCTCTCACCTCAGAGTCTAGGTCCTGCTACAGGGCTTGACTCATGTTCCTCCATTGTCGTTTTGTGCACGCTCCTCAGGTCTTTATGAAAAGCAGAACTTCCAGCAGCCTGTCTCTGCAGGCCTTAAGTTCAGATATGTGAATCCCAACACTGACACTTGCTAGCTGCAAGATTTGGGAAAAGTTACTTTAAAACAAACAAACAAACAACTTGTAAAGTCTTTTTTTTATCTGTTCTATGAGGATACTGACAACTACCTGAAAAGCAACTTGAATGGAAAACTTTGACTCATTTTTTTCCAGCAGCCCCATGAAGGACAAAGAGATAAAGAACAAGAAGTCAAACTCGCTTGGGAGGTTTCTTTTATAAACGAACTTTTAGAACGCACCTATTCCATTTTTACAGATTCAGCCTGGTTTCATGTGCCTCCAGCTCTTACAGTTGTGGAGAGTTTGAGGTTGATGGAAATGCTTTCACAGAGGATTTTTGTAATCTTCACATAATCCTGAGAAGTAGGTAGGTTTGCATCTTATTCTCACTTTTCAGAGGAGGAAACAGACTTAGAGAATTTTGAATTTTGTTTTTAAAGCAATTTGCCTGGAATCTCCCAGCTCCTAAGTAGAGCCAATCCTGAAACCCACGTCTTCTGGCTCTAATCCTCAGCCCTTCTCCCAGGATCCACAGCACTGAGGTCACCGATGACCCCCATGATAATCTAAATAATGACTCTGAGGCTGGACAAGATGCCAAATCTTCAAAGAGAGAGTCTATTTGATCATTCCATTGCACCAGCAAAGTGGGTTTGAAATCTGTAGAGAGATTTCTTTTTCCCCAATAATAGCAGATGAAACAATACTGGTTACAGAACATTCCATTTCCTAAGCATTCCCATTTTAAGTCTATGTCCCAGTCATTAACAGGGCCATACATAGATTCACCATTTGAAGGAAGGAATAGAAAAGCTGTCACAGAAACTTAAAACAGCCTATAGCAGGAAATGAGGAAAAAACACCATATATTGTAATTCTGTTTCTGTCTCCAAGGAGCAAACTCAAAAACAGACACCTATGGCTTTAAGAGAAACAGTTATACTGGGAGAGTGTTACAGGTGCAAAGGAAGAGAATGTTTTTCATGCCTTGGTTCAGGGGATTCCCGATGGCCTGGGTCTGCTTCCAACAGCCCTCAGCATTCCATGTGTGTGCTATCTGGTATGTGTTTATTATTGGGTATGAACAATTTGGGGAGGAAAGCACTGGTTACCTCTAGGGGACCTTTGTACCGTACAACGGCACCACCCCTTCACCTCTGGTGGGAGGAAGGTCATCCAGGCATCCAGGGCCATTCCCGCCTCTACCCTTATTCTTCCGCAATCCCCACTTCTTCCTCTCTGGCATCTCCATTTGTTCCTAAATATTTTTCTGTTTTCCCTGCTTCTGAAGAAAGGGCTTGGATAAAGGGCCCCTAAGGAAGACAACTCAAACATTTCCTAAACAGGCACCATCACTATGGGCTCTCTTCTTTTCCATTAGAGCTAGGATATGAATTGTGAGATAGACATGGTTTAACTCCTCCTAGGTCTGGTGAACTCTAGTGGTATGAAATCTGTCCAGATAGTGAACAGGTGTTTTGGCTCCTCCAAGGAGCTTCAATTTGGTAGCACTTCTCCTGGGCTTCTCAAGCTTGCCTAACTTACTGACTTTCAGATATTAGGTGTATTACCTAGAGCACTACACCTGAGAACTAGAGGCCCTGGGAGTTCGTCTTTTTTTTTTTTTTTTTTTTTGCATAGGAGTCTTGCTATGTTGCCTAAGCTGGTTTCAAACTCCTGGCCTCAAGCTATCCTCCTGCCTCAGCCTCCTTGGGACCTGAGATTACAGGCAGAAGTTCATCTTACCTCATCATTCTCAGTGTGGCCCAGATCTGTGGGGTGGTTTTCCTTAATCATGCTTATTACTGTGTTATCTTAAAGATCAAGAGTCATACCTTACTTGCCAGATCCAATTTCCTCTGCCCATTTTTCATTTCCCTTGATATCTTGTGGTAGGAGACCCTGTTGGGAAGACCCTATCCTGGTTCTCCCCCTTCCTCTCAGTGTGATTCTTCAGTCTCCTTGGTGGTTCCTCTTCTTTCCTACCTCTGACCATGGATATGACCCTAAATTTTGCTCTTGATCTTCTTGTCTTCTCTCCCCTCACATTATCCTTTGGTAAATTTACCAACCACTGTTTTAAATATCACCTTCATATGAGTGACTCCTGAATCTGTATCTCAAGTTCCATGGTTTTCCATGACAACAATACCCAAGTCCGGAGGATTCCACTGAAAATGTGAGAGCTGAAAAAAATATTAGAGGAGGATATCAGAGTGACAGTTTAATAACTGAGGTCATATAATTGAATCGTGGTGAAGAGCTCAGTAATATGCCCTAATCTTCCTTCCCCTTCCTTTTCTTCTATCACCTCACATCTTTTCACCAGCCAAACTGGTCTCCTGTAAGCTGCTCCTTCCTCCTGACCCCATGCCCACAATTGTTCACTTTGTTTCCTTCCTGAAATTCACCCTCCTCCTCCCCTTGCCTTTATCTCTCAAAACCCTGCCCTAATTTAGTGCACATGAAATACGGGTGTCTCTCTTCTAGTTTCTTAAAAAGAAAAGTAGAAAGAAGCCCCATTAGTCAAAGGGGTGCCAGGATAGCCAAGAGGGTGGGACTCTAATGGGTCAGCATTCTCAGGGGTCTCAGTGGAACCTGCCCATAAATTTTTCTTTTCTTTTTTTTTTTTTTGAGATGGAGTCTCACTCTTGTCACCCACGCTGGAGTGCATTGGTGTGATCTCAGCTCACTGCAACCTCCACCTCCCGGGTTCAAGTGATTCCTGCCTCAGCCTCCCGAGTAGCTGGGATTGCAGGCACCCACCACTATGCCTGGCTAATTTTTTTGTATTTTTAGTAGAGACAGAGTTTCACCATGTTGGCCAGGCTGGTCTCAAGTTCCTGATCTCAGGTGATCCACCCGCCTCGGCCTCCCGAAGTGCTGGGATTACAGGCGTGAGCCACCACACCCAGCCCCTGCCCATAGATTTAAGGAGAAAAAGGCAAAGAATCTGCTCCCTCCCATGCCTCCTTTTCGTGACCTACCTATTTAATAAAATCCAAAATATCTTTAGCTGACCATATGTCAAAAGTTAAGTGTTATGTAGGAGGAAATTCAATGAAATCTTTAAACCATTTGTTCAAAAAAAACCACTCCAAAACAAGTCCAAATGTTTGTTAGTAATTTAAGAGGCATAGCAAATTTTGGCCCTGTTAAAATTCCTTACACAATGACTTATTTTAGGCATTATTACAACTTTTGGTTCAAAGGACAACTATTTTTATGGACATTATGAATTATATGTTGTCTCTTACCATTTATTCCATTTGCTCCCCACTTTTTCTACCCTGCCCACTCATATGATTGGAAGAGTCACATGGTTTTACAATTCTCTTTTGCTCTGGTCAAATTTTGGTTAGAATTTAATATTAAATGTAAGTATGCTGGAAATATTTTAATATTTTTTCTAATTTTGAATTTTTTCTATTATCTAAATAGCTTGAAGAAAAAAATGAGAAAGTGTGCTGGTGAATAGCATTGCATGGATTCTGATAAATACTCCATAAATAAATATCTCTTTTAAATTGATTATTAATCATCAGGGATACTGGACAAAGATGCTAGTGGCACATGGTGTTCTATTTTTAGGTCTCTTAAAAGTAATCCTTTGATTAGTTGACTAAGCTGCTTTTATTAGTTGAGCAGAAACATCCATATTTAGTGGAGATTTAAATACTTGCATTTAACTTTTTACACAGTGGCTTATAAAACCATCGTGACATCAGTAAAATTACACAGTCCTCAAACTCAAGTCCCAGTGATACAATGTCTGGTCATGAGAATGAGGCCACACTTCTGAGCTTGATACTGAAGCAAATCAATTATAGTCATGCTTCCCCCAACCCAGTGGCCAGGCGGTGGGGCAGGGAATTGGGACACTCAAGCCATGAGTCTGTGCTCTGTGGCACCATGCTGCCCCATGACCACCAGCCATCCGCCTAGCTGGCAGATTTTATAAGAGGCCAAACTTACTCTCATTGCTAGTGAAACAGTCCCACAATTATATGGTCCTGAGGGTCCGTCAGTCAGTTATCACATCTCTGCATATGAACAATGGATTATTAGGACAATTTAATAAAGCAGTAGCACACTTGAAATCCTGATTGTCATTCTTTCCTTGTGAATGAAAGCATGTTCTGTATCCTAACTCTAAGTAGGGAGCCCTCCCGCACACTCTAATTATGGGTCATCAAGCTTTCAAAAGTGGAGTGTCAAGTGTCTGACCCCTATTTTAAGTGAGATGATGTATGGGAAGTGCCTGGCCACAAGCATATCACAGAGACCTGGAAAATGGCGACACTCATTCCTGTGATTAATTTCAAGGGTTCCTATTGACTTCTCTGAGGTTCTGCGAATGGATGTTGTGGGAGTCCTTATGCCACCGAAAATGGACCAACCCATTTTCCTCTGGGTCTTGTACTTCTCCCTCATTGCCTTGTCCCAGTTTGAATGCTATCTCTGATTCTTGGACAATCCCAAGGTCAGCACTGCCAGGAAGTCACAGTTTAGGCCTACTCCCTTAAATCAACCTCCTTTGCTAAACTGTGAGCTCCATTCAGGGCTGGCCCCTTGTTGGCCGAGTTCCCCTTCTTATTTCCTGGGGCCTAGGACAGTCCTAGCACTAGTATACAGTACATTGGCTCCTCATCCAGCCCACATCTTCTCAAGCCTCTGCTGCTAGAAACAAAAGCAGTTCTCATGAATTTAAGGTTACTTGACTTACCCTCTCCTAGGTCATATAAGGCACTTCACTGTGGGACAGTGATTTGGCTAAGACTGAGTTTCTCTCCCACACAGTACCTCATGGGAGACACTGGAGGGCCTTCTCTTTTGTGCACTCAAAAAACACATCCTTTCCTCACAAGGGACAGTCAAGCTGCTTAGGTAGTTACAGAATTTTCTGGAAAGAGGAAGTTCTATAAATGACCATTTTACAGGGTTCAGTAAACATACTGCAAACACTAATAGCTATTAGTTAATGTCCTCAGATGCATTACATTTTCACTCCTCTTATTTTAAAGCAATAAAGACTCTCTAGGATAATTTTAATTGAGTTTTCTATTTTTTCATCGTTACCTAACCACAGACAAAAGGGAGCCAACAGTTCCTTTATAAAACTTTTCACTGCCAAATACCACTGGGTCTTTCTGATTGTGTGGTGCACACCCATTGTTAATTACCCTGATTGTTATCCCTAATGAGTGAGGCTGGCTCTGAAGCTTGGGAAATCCCCATTTTCAAGACAGACAGGAAATCACAGACTGGGCTTTGATTGACCTGGAGATTTCTTCTCACCTTCCTGGCGCTCTCCCTTACATTTAGATGCACCCAACCTCCATGTGGGCATAAGTGACAGTAGGAGAG